GGGAAAAAAAAAAAAAAAAAAAAAAACCAAACAAAAAAAAAAAAAAAAAAAAAAAAAAAAGGAAAGTCGTATCCTGCTGGAGGTGTTGTATCTATCTCTGGCGCTGAGCCACAAGGCTACAATGGCAAAGCTAAAATGATAGGACGTGTAGCTTGTTAAGCATCTTATTTGACTTTGCTAAAAGCTGACACTTCCAATGCACTATGAAGGGAACACAGTATTAGAGTTTCCTGAGCAAATCTGTGGCACAGCCTGGCTGAAGAACCAAATTCACCTGGTTTTATCACTTTTTCCCTAATTGTCTGTTTGGGTGTGCTAAAGTATCCGCTGGCAAGTGAAACTCACACATAAAGGATCAGGGGTTAGGAAATGCAGTATAGGTGATTTAAGAAGAGCATACTATCAGACTTTAATCATATCAAAAGATCAGGAAAGCATCACTGAAGTATGAGGCAGGAACTTTGATTATGCTAAATATGGCAAATGCTCAGTTTGCTAAATCCCTTTGGATCCAATTTCAGCATTACAGTACTTGTCATTTTTGCTTTCCAGCTAGTGGGGGTGTGAGTTGGCACTTATCAGGTAAGGTTATAAGACTACATTGAAGATTGCACCATGCAGTTTAATGATCAGCTCATTTTTGGGTCTTTAGTGTATGACAAACTCTAAAACAAGAAATGGGGTTCTAGGAAATTCCTATTAGACTGGGTAGATGAAGGGTCTTTTCCTACCTGCTTGGGGAAAGAAGCATTTGAAGAGGCTCTTAGTTGTCTCCTGCTTAATTACTAGATCCCTTTTCAGAGATCTAATCTTTAGATTTTAATCACTGGATGTGCATATAAAAAATTACCTCTGTATTACATGTGAGATTTACATTCTCAGGATTATTTGAGAATTTCCCTGTGGTTTATATATGCTCTATATTTCTCAAAAAAGTTAACTGTATCCATTAAAACTACTACTTTAAACTAACTTTGTGACTAAGACATTGTAAAGCATTAATAAACTCCTTAGGCCTTAAGTATAAACAAAACTATTGTAAAACAATGCAACTCAATTCAGTCTTCATTGTGTTCAGCAATCCAAAATATGGTTGACAATAAAAGGTACGGGAAACTACATTAGCATTGGAAAATACACATTAAAAAAGTTAGTGACACTTCATCTCACGGTTCCCTTACATTCCCCCCATCTCTGTTGTATCTTGCTATATACTTAGATTAACACTTAGGGGCAGGGACACTCCTTTTTTTAAATGGGTATGACAGTGAGCTTGATCCCTAATTAGGGCTTCTAGGTGCTACCTCGATACAAATAAGTTTGGATATGATTCCCATATGTAACCATTGGTAAATCTTTCAAGGAACACCCTCCTCTCTCCTCTTTCTTCATCCTTCTTTACCATGTAAACTTTCTCCTCAAAAACTGAGCACACACAATGGACAGGAAAAGGCCTCAGAAAACCTTTGGTTAGAGACCTCTTCAAGTTACTTACAGATGCGGTGCTTAGATACTGTGGCAGTGGGTGGTATAGAAAATACCTACGAGAGATTTTGGACCAATGACTGTACTCCTTTTGCCAACAAAAGTCCCTTTGACTATGGAACGTGGCCTCTTGTGTTACTTGGTACCAAGCAAAAGGTATGGGCAAAAACCAGTGCACTGCCATTATACTTCAGCATCAGGCAATGGAACTCCCAGACCCTCCCCTTCCGCACTCTTCTTGAACTCATCATTACATCTGACTAGCTGAACAATGCAAAATGCCACCATCAGCACTGAGAAACATGCTACAGTGGCATCGCAGAGGGTCAGCATGTTCATGATAACAATAGGCTGCTGAGCCACCAGGTTGGCATGTAAACAAGAATCTTAATCAAAGCCACAAACCCATTAGAACAATAAACTGATACCAATTTCTTGTAATAGTCATTTTACACTGTAATTCTGAAAACAACAACAACAACAAAATGCATGTCACTTGTATAAATCAAAGAAGGCGACACAGAGGGTGACCTTTTAGGAGTTTGATCAGAGTGTTATGGAGCTTTCAAAGCAGGAAGTGATGACTTCTTTCTTTAAAGTTTCCCTAAAGGAAACTTCAAAAAGTTGTAGCAGAGAAACTTATCAGAATAGCGAAAGTTTTATCTTTTGGCAAGTCTTGGCTAGGCTTATGGATTCAGCTAACACAACTAAACAGATTCATTAGCTTCATTCACAGATGTGGAACTGTACAGATTTGACAGTTCGCAAAGACAATTAAAAAGTTAAACATATTTGGTTTTTTTAACTAATCATCTAGTTTATAGATATATGCACAAAAATAAAGATCAGTGCCTACCTCAAAGTCATTTGCTTTATTGTAGTGCATGTTCAGAGCCCTGTATAGCTCGCAGTCTCTGGTTATAGACAGATCTTCAGTACTTGTGACCCCATCGTTGATGGCCTGACGCGCATACTTCTCCATCTGAATGTAGTAAAACTCACGGAAATTGCTAAACCACTTGATGAGCTGAGAGGTAATGCATCTGTTGAACTGTTAAATTTAAATAGTGAGAAGGATAAGAACATTGACATTTTCCCTTCCTCCCCTCTTTTAACAGCATCTTTTATCCCTCCCCCTCCACCATTGTTAAAAACTCAGGTTTCAATGCTTCTGAAACTGGGGGCTGAAGAATGGCAAGATTATAAGACAATTTTGCCTAAAAATTTCCAGGCAATGACTTCATGTCCAACCAGATTTCAGATCTTGAAAGTACAAATATAGATTATTTAACCATAGTTCATATGGTTAAATAATAATGGAATACATTATTCTTTATTTCACTATGCTAGAAATTTTTATGTGTAGGTAATTATAACTGACTTAGGCACTTTAGCGTTGTTTGGTTAAGATGTAGAATTTATTGTTAAATTTATTTTAAAAGTCCTAGTTTAATTTTGTAATTTTTACAACTTTAAGTAAAGCTGGAAGGAAGTGACATTGTCTTTCTTGGTAGCTGACCTTTCTTTGCATATGCAGTAGTTACATGTTCTCCGGTAAGTACTCTATTCCTATTGTTGAACCTTGCATACTCTTATATTCTGACATTATAATTAAAAAAAAAAACCCAAACCTGCTCCTCCTCCCTCCCCCCCACACGTTAGTTTGGTGAATCTGAAGTTTGGTAAATTTGGCTATAAAACAGTGTGATAAGAGACAAAAACAGACCACTGTATTACTTATAAAAGGTCATGGAGATAAAACGTTAAGCTACTTTAGGCTTAGGTTTCAAGGTTGTCTATGACTTTTGAACTGAAGATGTCATCTTGGATAGGCTGCAGATGATGCTACCCTATTGACAGTCCCTCTGTATGTGTAAAGGACAGATGCATCTCAACTTGCCAAGTTAAAACCAATAAATCCATAGCTTTATATCAGGCCAACTGATATACAACCCCCTGCCTTTTGTCATCACAGGCATTCACTTCCCCCAGCCCCCAGAAAGAGATGTGCATTAATCAAAAATCAACAAAGAACACTTATCAAACACTGGCCATGAGAACATCCAGGCCTGCAACAAGATGACAGCTAAAGTGTGTATTGGGGCTGTAATTACTGCGCAGAAAGTTGTTTCTATGCTAGCAAAGATAATAAATGAATGAAATTTATGGCA